GTGGAGATGTGTTGCGCTCGAGTCGCCCGCCTGTCAACCGCACGGCCATGCGCATCGGTTCCTTGAATACGATGTGCTGACGCGCGCCCGACGCCTGCGACCGTCCATTATCCTGGATATACACCATTGCGGCACCCTCCCTCTGTCAAGCTGCGCGGGCGCAACAAGACCATGGCAGGAAAAGCGGCGAGTGCAGCAGCACGGCTCCGCTCACGATGTGGCGCCGCTCCAGGAAAGGCAGCTCCTGGTTTCGCTTTACGGAGTCCATGACCTGTGCGGCCCAGCCCATGGTCGCTTCCTGCTCCCGCAACGGCGATATCCTTGCCTCCCGGGCTGCGCAAGTTCCGTGTGGCTGACTTCGAACGGTTCACACTCCTGCGCCACTAAACGTTATAAATCAAAAGCTGGAGAGATGAAGCAGCCATGAATGAATATGAGAGATTCAGGAGCCAAGGATCACCTTGTCTTGGCCTCCGGTGACGTGCCAGGTCACTGCTACCTGGGTTGCTAATCCACACCGCGCATGTCCCAGCGCATGACCCCTGGCCGTTCGATACATCACAGTTGTCTGTGATGACCAGCAAGCCGCAGCTTCCTTCAGCATTGCTCCAATAACATAACACCAACACTCGCGCTTGTGTGTGCGTGTCGTTGCAGTGATTCTGAGTGACACATTTCAAATATGATTTCAAATAGCCAAGCAAGTTTGTTTGGCTAGCTGGTGTACATCACTTTCATCAGATAATTGTGTGATTATTTGAGGCATATTGAGCTGGGTGAATAGCTCGCATGAGTATCAAGGTGTGGGGGTAGTGAGATAGATACCGCACTGACGAAATGAGCAGTGCAGTTGATGAAAGTGGACTGGTATGTTTGCGCCTTGGTCGACGCGGCAGGCCCATGCGTCGATTACACGCACACGTACTTAAAAGCACACCTCCACTACCTTGGAGTCGTAGTCGGCCCGTCACCATCTCACAGGGGTGGTGCAGAGGCAAGTGTGCGACAAGCAGCAGAGTGCCCAAAGCAAGTGCGGTATCCCTGCCCGGATCCGTTGCACCCGTGCTTGTATACAAAGTCACCTGAGCGTGACAGGGACTTAATCAAAGCGGCAGCAGGGGCTTGAAAAAGTTAACCATCCAAGTAGAGACGAGTCGACTGAGAGAACTCACTAGCACCGACACTCACCCATGTGGTCCTGCCCAGTTACCATGCGTCACACTGAAACGACCAGCAGTGCGCCACAGCAGTCTTATCGCAACACCCCGTTCTGATACAGCACAATCTCAGCGCCCCAGGCCCCTCTGCTTCCATTCACGCCACTGGCCGCACTACTTGCACCACAGCTCGCTCGCCCTGCTGCGGCCACTGCTGCCACCTGCACTGCTGATCCCGCCGCGGCCCGCGCCGCCTGAGCCGCGGATGGCGCCGCCATTGCCTGCGCCATCGCCGCTGGGCGCGCTGCCATCGTCGCCGCCTGCGCTCTCCATGCTGCCGTCAGCCTCACCGAGAGCCTTGCACTATCCCCTCAAGATTCGAGTTGCCGGCTGCCCGTGCAGCCTGCTGGCAATCTGGCAGCGACGAAGCGCACAGCGCGCAGTGGGTGGGGGTGACCGCTGATGGGTGGAAAGCAGGCGCTTGCATTGTCACTCGGCCAGCAGGGCGCTGTGCCAGCCCGCGCAGGCGAATGCCTGCGTGGTCGGGCGCTTAGAGCAGCGGCTATTAGGAGGGGGTGCGAAACCAAACTTCGATCAATTGTATGTAATATCTTACGTTGACTCATGAGGCATGCCATCCTTTCAAGGCCCAGTGCCCGTCCCATGGCGTCGCCACCGGATGACCGTATCGATTGTCGGGTGCAGGTGGTTGCTCAATCTGCTTTCACACGCGTCCAGAGGACCTGGGTTGCAGTGGCCCCTCGTATACCCCTATGTGCTTGTCCCTCAGTGACAAATCAAACATTGGGAAAGAAGCATCGGGCAACCTGCGTAAGTGCTGAACGCTTGACTGCAGTGTTTGTCCAGTCGTGTGAGGTGTCACCCGAATCTGGGCCACCCCACTGGGCCCTTTGGCCAGCGGTGACAAGGCACAGTCCGGACGCATATCAAGCTAGGTTGCAGGTTTTCAACGCAAACCAATTATTGATCCAACATTGATCATCCGCACTGCACAGCGTCACGAGCCCCAAACGAGATCAGCCGACACTCAGCTCTCGTTGGCGCACAAACAGCGCGACCACGACGACAGACAGATTGAATTATTGTTGATGCAACGTCACGACCCTTGTGCCATGCGGCCTCGCCCCATGTGGCCCGCAAGGCACTTTCCCGCGGTGTTGCTGCTAGCATTCTTGCTCGCTGCTGGTGCGGTGGAGTGCGGTAAGTCATGGATTAGTTTCCATATATCCACCGCTACAGTACCAGTTGCCGTTGCCGTGCCAGGGCCAGGGGCAGACCAAAGCGGCCTGGAACGCAGTGTCACTGCGCAACAAATCGTCACTGGTGCCATACCGTACCTCGATGCCTCTGCTGGCAAGTTCGTGCATTGCTCGATGTGGGCATCAAAAGAGTGTGCCACAGGTGGCACGAGTCCTTGCCAAGGGCGGCAAGCATAGCAGCAAGCATGGCAGCAGCAGCAGCAGCAGCAGCAGCAGCAGCAGCAGCAGCAGCAGCAGCAGCAGCAGCAGCAGCAGCAGCAGCAGCAGCAGCAGCAGCCAATGACAGCATCTGTTAGTAAACGTGTCAATTCGCCTCGACTCCCATTCCACCACATCTTGCTTGCCCTTACAGCTCTTCCAACCATCGACACAACGGCCTGCACCGCCCTTGGCGCGTGTACGGGCTTCCCTGGCGTGCTGCCCACCGCCTGTATCAAGTGCCTCATCGGGGGTGGCTTCGTCGCCGACTGGGCAGCACTGGCGGCGGTGCCTGTTATGAGCCGGCTGCCCCTTGCAGAGGCCGGATTCACCGCCCAGGTGCGAGCACAGCTGAACCCCAAGCAGCTGCCGTCCAGCTGCACGCGGTAGACCCTGCTGCAATCACCTCAGCAACTGCGACAAAATTTCCCCTTCGCGCTCCACCTTATGCCCCACCGCCACTGTCACTGCAGCACGCCTAACCCCACCGCGCAATGCTGCCCGTCCCATCGTTGCACTACCGCAGTTTGCGACGCCGCTGCTGCGACCAAACCGCTGGCTCGCCACGTCCCCTCCCGATCCTGGCGTGGTCGCCCTGGCGCTGGGCATATACAACAACGACAATTGGGGCCCTGCACTCCCGAAGGACGTCCAAGTATGCAACGCAAAGTTTGCAGACGTGGGCGGGTGCAGGACGCTAGACCTTGGGTCCACCCAGGGCTCGTTTCTGTGCGTTGACAAACCAGGCTGGACATTCCCAGGCCCGGTCACGGCCGCCTTCTGCAACGGCGCGGCCAGCAGCTATTATGACGTCCCATTCAACACGCCGGAGCAGGTGACGGGGCTTTCAGGGCTCGTAACCGTACGGCAGGGACCCTACACCAGCCCTGGCCCCCGCCTGGAAAACTTCCAGCCCCGCAGGCACTCACATTGAATCCCCGATAATGCGTCTGCCAGTTCTGTAATTGGCGCATGATGGTTGTGAGCCTAAGCCTCCCTGTACGCCCTGCTGACGGCCCATCCCTATGCTGCAGATGGCATCCCTTGTTCCCACGACCCGGTAAGGGTGCAGATCGGCCACATTGCGCAGGCCAGCACCCCAGGCTCGCACGGCAGCAGCCATTGGTACTCCATCGCTTTCACTAGCAATGCCTGCTGAGCTGCATGCAGCGTGCTACTTTGACACACTGTCATGCCCCGCCCCTGCAAACGCAGCGGCCGCGACAAGTTCCGTGCCAAGAGCATCGCAGAGTCCAAGGCGTTCTACAGCGATCCAGATGCCGCCACGGACTCCTTGTGAGTGCAGGGTCGGCATCAACCAACCAGTCAATGTGCGGGAAGGTGTGTGAGTGAGCCATTGTTTCAGCCCCTGGGCGACAGGATGCGCACATAGGAGAGTAAGTCGGCCACCTCACTCAGGCCCCCATACCCACCCATGATGCATGCGTGTTGCAGGTGGGTTGCGGCCAACTACGCATGGCAGACGACAGTGTTCCTCAGGTGAATATCAAAAGGGTTACGAGACACTGATTGAGATACCTTGAGCAGTCAAGCAACAGCTATGCTGCCTGCTACGCATTGATAACCCTGGAGCGCCACGCTCGTTGAAACATCCAGGAATGTCACAGGGGCGCGTATCGCCGCTGTCGCAAACCTGTACGGCAGCGAGTTCACGGTGAGTTCCCCCGAGCCTTGGATGCCACTTGCCATGCGAGCAGATGCTGCTCGGCAGTCGTTGTCCCCATGCAGCCCTACAGGCCCCACCTTTGGTGTCTGCAGCATCAGCAGCAGCCGATGCATTGCTCGACGCCGCACAGCGCATTAGCCAAGGCCCTCTGGTGTGGCCCCCAGCCGAACCCTATGCAACCACTCACATGTTTGCCCTTTTGCTTGTGCGCAGCCAACGATGCAGCAGGCCGCTCAGAACGGGGAGGTGGTTGAGATCGATCTCACCAGTCTGCAGGGCTTCCAGCCGACGAGTGGACTGTGGAGCCCGGCGGGCCACGCGCTGCTGAGGGTGGCAAGCGTGAGTGTGTTTAGCAGGCCGCAACCGCACTCAATTGTGTAGGCAGTGGGTCTGGAAGGCTTGTTCAAGCGCCTGCAGGTGCTGGACTGACGGATCACTTGCAAAAGCAAGATGGGCACCCGCCTGACACGGCTGGACTGTTGTAGCGCAGGTGATGCGGGACTGCTGCTGCCAGCAGGGCGTATGTAGCCACACTCCAGCTTTGTGCGATCCAGCCTCTCCCATCCCCAACCTGCATGTCTGTTGATGCTGCGCTGCAATACACCTCACAGAACACCAAGGGGCGCATGGACTTTGAAGGCCTCCTGATCCGCCTTTCAAATGCGCCGGCCGCGCCGGCCGCAGCGGCTGTGTTCAGCCCCCAGAAGAGCGCGTCTGCCTGGGTGCTCGCCTGCGCGATCATGCGGCAGGCCATCTCACAGTGGAGCACGTGGATAGGCCACGTCTACCATCAACACACAACCACCGCCGCTGTATCGGTGAGTGTCAGCCATGTGAGCACATTGTTTGCCTTGTAATCTTGCCAAACATGCTTCGGGCTGTGTCGCCTGCAGTTTTCTGCCTTGGAAAATGAGCCGTCAATGTCGTTTTTTGGGCATCAGCTGTTTTTGAGCTTGAATCGAAATGAAGCTGCAGGAATTTGATATCAACATGTTGAGAGGGATGGAGAGCTGCAAAATTCCCACTCGTTTCTACTGGCTGAAGCTTCACACCCTCTTCACGTCATGCATCCCCACGATCCCTGCACCCCATAATTCCTGCAACCCATAACTCCTGCCCTCATGATTCCTGCCCCCACCCGTTGATCAGTTTGCACTGTACGGGACTATTGAGCCGGGCGTCCCGATCGGTCAGGCGACCACCTTCAACCGCTTGATGGCAGATTTCTTTCTGGACCCCTCGTACCGCGAGCAGTTCGCCTCAGCCCTCTTCGCAGACGGCGTGGTGAGCGCACCCCGCATTCCTCGCTAGGGGCGCTTTATACAACTTGTGTTTGTCTATGGGGCTTTTAAGCTTTGATTGTGGCGCTTGCATTGTCATGCGCAATCCAGCCCGCTTTGTGCGCAAGCTCTGTGGTCACAAGTAAACCTGCATTACACCCCCATTATGTTACGACACTCCCACGAACCCACCCTGCAGACACCCCCGCCCACGCCGATTCTGGTGCAAGACCTGTCCAAGCTGTGAGACTTGTCAATCGGGGGGATCCCCGGGCTTGACACAGGGGCTAGAGCAGCGCTGGCATGCAGCTCAAAGTATAGGCGACGGCAGGCTTTTCTGATGACGGGCACGGCTTACATGCTGTTGAACGGCAGTCATTGCAAAATGCGCACAATCACCGCGTGGCGTTGCTGCGGCCGAAAGTCCCACAACGCCCCGTTGATAACGTGACCCCCCTTCTCCGCATGCACTTGTGCATATCAAGGTTTGAGCTCTACGCTGTTAAGGGCGGCCCCCATGGCCCCAAGACCGACTTTTGGTCGCTGCTGCCAGGCCAGCAGCTTGAGGCAACCGGCCTCGACGGCCGGGTGTTCCAGGGCAAGAAGCGCGAGCCGTTTGGCGCCTACCCGGTCGTCACATTCCAGCGGCAGATGAGGGCGAGCATCGACACGTTCACCGCCAAGGTGGGGGCTATTGCCTCATGTTAGGCGCAGTTTGATCGGCAGATTGGCAGCTGTAATAAAGTCTGTGACATGGCCAGTCCGTCAGCACTGTTGCCCTGTCTGGACCAAGTGCATCCCACCAGCACACGTGCACTTGGTTGCATGGCGTGCCGTCATGCAGAGGCCAGTAAGCCACCAGGGTGCTGGCTCAATTAATAGGTTGCGAAGAGCAACCAGCATGCTGGGGTCGCTTTACGTCTTACATCCCTGAACAACCTTCACAAGAGCAGTGTCGATCTGCCCCTCATGTCAGGTGGTGGGGCGCTACTACGCCACAGATGCGGACGTGGCCGGGGACAGCCAGGTGCAGGCCTGGCTGGCGGCCATGATCGACCCCTTGGTGAGGAGTCGGAGGGGGGACGGGTGGTGCCTTGTCTGTCTGGTTGATGCTTAGGCTTTGCGCCTACCTGCTGAGTCAAGGCATGAACACGGCGGCCGTCATAATCGCAGATGGGGGCAAGCGCTGAATCCCTGCCGGCCTCATGCCCGTCTCTGCGCATGATGCCGCGTGCGCGCACGCAGGGCGGCAACCTTGGAAAGATCAACCCGAACAACACCCTGTCCTCGCGCGCCGAGCTGGCGCGCCTGTGGGGTGACCTTATCCAGTTGGTCCTCATCCACGGTGTCAGCCACTTGCAGGATTATGGGGCCCGCTTTGGTGTCCCCTCGTCAGCACCAGCGGCACTGGGTGAGCGAGCAGCTAGAGCGGCATGCGCCCCTCCAGCCGCTGCTTGCAGCTGCTGAGCACAAATCTTGACAAGGGCCGCCACACCTCATTCTAGCTTCCTCTTATGCGGGCAATGCAATGCAGCTGCTGTATGCGGCTCTGCGCAGCTTCTCATGGACTGTTCAGGACAGATAATCGCTGAGTAAAAGTTCCTTATTTCGCAGATCAACAACAACCCGCTCACCACGCCCCTGTAGGTTCTTCTGTGCTGCCTGACCCCTCCAAGTCATACACCACTCAGGAGCTCATGGATTACGCCCCCTGGACGGTGAACTCCGCCGGAAAATACGCGGTGAGCGTGTGGGACATGCCTGCTGGGGCCATGCGGTGTGCCTGCTGGGGCCATGTAGTGACAGGGTCACGGGCGCTCTCCGGCGAGGCACCGGAGCACTGAGACTGTTCTGCAAATAATAGCCCCGCGTGTGGTGCTCCCTTTGGCCTGCCCAACTTCTATCCTAAACCATCCCTTTCGCCTTGCTCATTTTTCAGTTCATGACAGCTTTCATCGGTTCTCAGCCCTTCACCCAGTTTGTCCCCTCCAAGGGAGGCCCAACCGGCCGCCCTGCCTGGGACGCCGAGTCGCCCTTTGGCCGCGGGGACGCCAAGTCCCGCGCCGCCTCGTCCGCGCTGGTAACATTTAGGAAAGGGCTCACAAACTTTTTGAAGGGCTTCCCTCAAGATGACATCATCCGCGTGCTGAGCACAAACTGGGGGCAGCCCACCCGTCTGCCGCGCGTCATAGACATGTGACAAGGCTCCTGGAGAGAAACGTGCGGAGATCCACAGCAACAACAACACGTCAGCGGCCAGCGGCTGCCTGCAGGGGCGTGAAACAGGGTCAAGGGCCACGCTTGTTGATTCAACGCAAACATGTGTACTGCATGTGATCTCCGCTTGCTTAAGGCCTGATCTTTCTGGTGCTCACAGAGGCTTTCAACGTCGGCTCAACCTTTGTTCATCAGTCTGCCGCAAGCATCGCGCTCGTGCTGGTTCCCAGCGGCCTGTGCTGCCAGGCCAGACCACTCCTGCCGGGGGAGGTTGATGGAAAAACCCTCCACACCAAACGTAATGCAACAACGAACAACCGCTACCTGCTGCCCGCCTCTTCCAGCGCATGCTTCAATATAAGCGCGCTTTGCACAGAAACTCCTCCTCTCACTCCTCGATACACGCCTCAACCTTTGAGGGCCGATATTAGGCCCAGCAGCTGCCAACTGATGTGATGAAACCTGCAATATGTCCACAATGCCGATTGACAGCTGGCCATGTGCGCTTGATTCTTGCTGTCATAGCGCCACACGTTTCATCATTTATAGTTCTCCTTGATCGATGCACGCGATTCAAACTGCAAGCACGCCCGGCTACGCCGCATGCTGCACGGCAGTGCTCCAGCTTCCAGGGTGGTTTGTGGCCAGGCGTGACAACATCATTTGTAACTGTTTCGGCAATCACCTCGCGAGTGGCAATCACCTCGCGAGTGCCCTGGTTTATCCTGCATGTAAGCAGCTCCAGTCAGCAGCGTGCAGTGAAGACCAACGACTTTGCCGCCGTTTCCCCAATTTCGAAGGGGGGGGGGAAACAGCAGCCGCCCGCGACGTGCGGCTGTGGGCACAGCCGCGATGCATGTTCAGCCTTCGCGGCGAACCTCATGCTGTCAAAAGCGACATGCCACAAAAGAAACCTGTGCTTGGTGTGCACATGGTTGCCAAGGCTACTGTACTGTATCCAGCGGGCACGCAAGCCGCCCTTATGATGATAGCTTCCCAGCACGCAGCCTCCCCTGCTGTGCGGTATCAAGCGCTTACGCGGCCAAGTAGAAATCAACCTGGCACAAAAATCAACAGCCACTGCGCCACGCAAATAATTTGAACTGCGTACAGCAGTTGCACGCCTGGCAACGAGCACCTGCCAGGAAGTCACGCAGGGACCCGGGCGCGGCAGAGCAACTGAGTGCTTCAAGATGAGCAGCACGGAAGCCAAAAGGTTTGAGAAATTTACGAGCAACACGCGTTGGTTTTGTCATTGATCTAGTATGAGACTCTCATAGTATCACCCCGTGGCACGCGACGAAGCCAAGTTCACAAGTTGCCTATATACGATTGCCACACGGACGGGTGGCTAAGCAGCGACTGTAATCCTGCAGGCGCACCTTGCACATACCGACTGCATGGATGTCCAGCGTGAGGCATGGGAAAGGCAAGTGCAGCGAAGCACCGTCCCAGGCGCAGCAGTACAGTTGAAGCCGTCTTGATTCTGCTTGAATTGAGAACACCTGTAGTGCCAATGTTGAGCCAGTTTGGGTATCCGATTACACTGGCAGCGACTGCTCAGGAGCAGGACTGGCAGCTTCCTCCCCGATCCCTTGAGACAAAGCCCCGTTGTCTCTGGCCGCCTCACCATCGATGTCATGCGGCTGCAGGGAGCAGCTTGAGCTGGCACGCCGCGTGGTGCGCGCTGATGACAACGATTGGATGACCGCAGAGGGGCTGCAGCTCGTGGGTGGCCTCGACATCAGCTTCCATCCGTCGGACGCCGAGGATCAGTCAACAGCCAGCGCCACGTTGAGCCACAGGCCACCAGCCTCAGCCCCTGATGCAGTGCCAGTTCAAGGAGACGCCAGTGCTAGCGCTGTTCAAAGCGACGCATGCTACGACAGCGAGTCCGCCGGCCGCGCCGTCGCCGCACTGGCGGTGATGTCGTTTCCCGAACTGGAGCTGACTCACCTTGAGCTGCTGGATGTTGATTTGAACGTGCCCTACCTGTCGGGCCTGCTGGGCTTCCGGTGAGCCATGAAGCCTCAGACGCGCTGGGGTGTAGAACCTGGCAGCACCTTGTCTGAGATACCAAATTCTGTATGCCCTCGGCACCTGGGATGCAATTCGGGCTTGTTTCAGTATGCCTTCGTCATCCCTGTGCATAGCAGTGAAGGTCACCAGCACCTGCTGGATGCTGCACAGACTGAGGGACTGCTTGAACATGTCAATTGCCAGCTGCACGCGAGCTTCTCATCCCCCCCACTGTGTGCTGTAATACACGGACATGATCGGCATCATTGGAGGGAGGTGCCTGCCTACCTGGAGCTGCTGAGGCGGGCCGCAGCGAAGGGCGTGCACCCGCAGGTGAGGGGTATCCGACCACAGAGCGTGGGAGGGAGCCATCGCCTCAGTATGGTGTATTTGACAGAGCACAGCTGACAACGGCTTGACAGTACGGTAGTGCATGCACGCTCTCCAAGCATTGTTGGTGTGGCAGCATCAATATGCCCCTGTCTCACTCCGCACGCATGCATACACCTCAAGCCCCTCACCTACATACACACTCCACCGGCCCATGCCTGCTGCCGACAGCTGCTGCTTGTGGACGGCTTTGGTGTGCTGCACCCGCGGCGCTGCGGCAGCGCCAGCCACCTGGGAGTTATGAGCGGCCTCCCTACAGGTACTCCAGTGTTTATCACAGCTGCCATGGTGGCTTCGTGGCCTCCATACATGTTGGTTATGTGTTGGAAGTGTTTGCAGGGGCATCGCCCTGCCGGTGATCGCTGCTGACCGGTGGGGGGCATAGCGTGCTCGCCAAGCGTCGCTCACCCCCACATCATGGCACTGCAGTGGGCGTGGCAAAGAATTTGCTGAGCCTGGAGGGCCTGCTGGAGCGGCAGGTGCGCGCGGCGGTTGCAGAGGCAGCTTCCGCAGGCGCCGGCGCAGGTGCAGCGCCCTGCAGGGAGCCCGCGAGCTCGGGCGGCCGAGGCTGGCTACCGCTGACGGGCAAGGGGGGCGAGGTGTTGGGCGCAGCGGTGTGTGCTGGGGCCTGCAGCAGGCGGCCGATATACGTGTCTGCAGGGCACCGCGTCAGCTTGGCAACGGCGGTGGACGTCGTGAGGCGCTGCTGCCGGCACAGGTGGGCAACGGCGCAGCCGGTGGGCGAGATGAATGGCGAACCATTGCTGGTGCAGAGGCCGGGCAGCATTTGTTCATCTTTGTGCTGCCAGCTGCTGTATCAGATGTCAGACTTCTGCAATCGGCGGGTAGTCAACATGAGCTTTGATCCAATCCAAATCCATATATATGCTCAGCCAAAATGTGCAAAGGTCACTGCGTACCCACATTCACACTGCTGCGTTTGCAGGGTGCCAGAGCCGATTCGCCAGGCAGACCTGCTGTCGCGGGCGGAGGTGCGACGGCAGCAGCAGCGGCGGCAGCAGCAGGAGCAGCAGCAGCAGCAGCAGCAGCAGCAGCAGCAGCAGCAGCAGCAGCAGCAGCAGCAGCAGCAGCAGCAGCAGCAGCAGCACCACCATCACCACCACCCCCACCACAGTTTTCAAAAGCACAATTGACATCATCAACTTCAGTGCCAGAGTGGAGCAGCAGTACGACTGACAACAGCAGCAGCAAATCATAATTGCAAATCACAATCTTGTGGACGGGCACCAATTTGGGAATCTCCATCCAACAAGGCTTCCAACAACAGCAGCAGGACTTGCAACTTACTGCATGCAGCAAAGCGACAAGGCTCAGTGATTGGGGTCATCCAGACTTGTCACATCTTGAAGTGACGTGTGCATCGTTGGTGAATCATTTTGTCAATGAACTGTAACGTGTGTGTCCCTTATTTCTCTCAAGCCATACAATTGAGAAGTCCTATGCATCCAGCCCCTGCTCTGTTGGCTTCTTGTCATTTTGATTGCTCAATTCGAGCCTGGCCCTGACTGCCCAAGCACGCACTGCCTTCTCAGCCAAGTTCCAGGGCAGCGCACATGCCCAGCACTCCCCACGCAGCCCAGCTTCATGTTGGCTCGATGGCTGCTGGGCCCCATGCGCGGGTGTTGTTGGACCCGCAACCGCTGCAGCAGCCGTCAAACACTACATGCTGAGTTGCCCCCCTCGTCGGGCATTACCTGGTGTAATGGGGCCCCTGGGCATTGCCAATTCCTGTTCCTTCACGTATGTTCTTCAATTCTTCCCCCTGAACAGCTGCATGGATAGAAAGCTGCACATGCGTGGGGCGGTGGGCCAAGCAGCCGATACCCAATGGGTCTGCCAGATAGCCGTACCATGACCCCGTGATGACTTCCACGGCTGCCAAATCAGCCCCAACAAAACCGCCAGCTGCTAAAGCAGCCAAGTAAAACCGCCTGCCGAACAGCCAAACACGACATCTTGGCTGCAAAAGCAGCCCAAAAACATGGGCGGGAGCTCGGCGCGGAGTCAGTGCATGTGCAGCATTCGACTCAAGATGGCCGTGCAGACGCTGACGCGGCGGCCTGCTGCTGCTGCGCTTGCTGGCGCCCACACCCATGGACGCCGATGCAAACAAAATCTCTTGTGAGGAGGCCGGCCCTCGGCAGGCAGCTGCTCACCATCCGCCTTGCCTCATGGTTGGCCGGATGGGTGTGTTCCCACCTCAAGTCACTGGGATCATCAAGGCATCTTATCAGCGGCCGCGGCGACGACGGGTCGGCGGCGCTGCGGTCAGCGCCCCACAAGGCTCTCCACAAACCAACACCCAACAAGGACAACTCATGAACCATGGCCGTTCCCACATCGCAAAAGAAACAGCTGGCTGGTGCCTGATGCTTTTTGCTAACCCGTTCGGTGACGCCCGGAAAGGGCGACGTCACCGCCGCTGCAGCGGCCGCATCGCGCCCTCCAGCCGCAGCCACGCGTCCACGCCACCGACGTCGTCGAAGAACGTCCCCGGCTTCTCCTTCAGCGCCGCCCACTGGCCGACCGAGCGCTCCTGCAGCTTCTTCAGGCGCCGCGCGGCGGTGAGGGGCCCCTCGCCGTGCAGGCTGATGCCCAGCACGAACTCGGCCGTGTGGCGGAGGGAGCGGCAGCTGCCCATGCCCATCTTGCCGTCGAAGTAGTTCTTTGGGGCAGGGTGAAGGGGGGGGGGTTGCACGACAGGTAGGGGTTTGGGGCGGTGCGAAGGCACACGGCGGCACCGCAGGAACGCCTGATGCGGGGCAACCGCGGCGCTGCACGACAGGCCAGGGGATCGTGGCATTGGGCGCCCCAGGGCCCCTGTCACTGTGCGTCCCTGCCTCGGATGAATGTGTCTCATCCACAACCCACGCCATCAGCAGGGTGCGGGACCCAGTGCTGCGGCCCGCCCACAGTGGGGGCTGAAGAAGTAATTCCATGCCAGCAGCAATACGCTGTGGGATCTGGTGCTCGACGCACCTCGGACCCGTACTTCTGGATCGCGTCTGCCTTGGCGAAATGCCGCGGCAGCAGCTCGGCAGCTGCATCCGCCAGCTTGGCCCAGTCCCAGCCCTCAGAGGGCACAGCGCCGGCTGCCACCGCCATCTTGCAGTACACCTGGGTCAATTACATGACAAGGGGTGGGGGCACGGTACTGGCTGTTGGGTAGATGGCGCCTGGGTGCAAAATTCACAGCTGCCAATTTGTGTTTGGTGATGCTCACGCGTCCGACCACCCTGCAAAGCGTCCGCTGCGAATGCAACACTAATGCACGCCCCTGAGGGGACGCCGGGCCATGCGGCGGTTTGCTAGGAGGCGCTTCGACAAGTTGCAAGCGCCGCTATTGGGGAGGCCAGCGCCGCGCCGTCTGTCTTGCGGCTGGAGCCCCCTCGCAGCTGCGGGGTGGGCGGGGGTCCCCGAGTCCCCGTGGTGCCCAGGAGCCCGTGTGGCGATAACATGCAGAGGGTCCATCATGAGCAAGCGGCAAACTTTGTTTATTCACCAGGAAGTCTTCCAGCACTGTGGCCTTGTCGGCTTTTGGGTCGTTCAGCCCTGGTGGATTGCGCGAGCAACATTGCCAATTCAGGGGGCAAGGTGGAAGGCGGCAGGGGCGAGGGCGGCAGGGGTTGGTGACACGGCAAGGGCGGCAGAGTGAGGACGGCTGATGAGGGGAGGAGAGGGCAGGGTCACGGGTTCACAACATACTCAGATGACGCCTCCCACAATGCGCTGTGAGCGGCTAGCATGGTGGGTCAAAGGCCATTTCGGCCACGTATCGAAGAGGGCCGCCCTAGCCTTCAACATGAGGGCTGCACAGGGGCCACAGGACATCGCACGCCGTCCCCTCCCCACAAACCCCTTCTCACGCACCATGCCTGTTGCCGCCTCCGTGCACATTGTCATCATCCACCCTCATGCGGTACGAGTCCACCAACCACCCGTACTGCCGCTCCCCCAGCCCCCGCGCCCATCCGTCCGGGATCGGCTTGCCGTCGGGCCCGAGCGCGGCCGCGCGCGCGTCGCGCGTGCTCATGTCTGCGCTGACGTTGATGCCACCGGGGCCAAAAGACATTGTGGTGGCGACGTTGTTGCTGGCAGCCGTCGCAGCGGTCATCTTCTCCCGATCAGTGCGGACGCCGACGCCGTACTCTCGCGCGCGCTGACGCGCCTGCTTCTGCGGGGGCCGGACGCGTGGGGAATGGCAGGGACAGGTCGGTTGCGAGAAGGGGTGGGGTGCCGGTCCAGCCTGCTGCCGTGCTGAGGTACAATGGGAAATCTCTCTGATTTAAGGCTGATCCACGTGGTGGCGCCGGGCGGTAGTCAAGGTCAGGGGTAAGTAGGCGCCCCGTGGCCTCACATGACAGCAACAAGCCCGACTGCGGAGCTGGCTCTAAGTTGACTGACGTGTGCGAGCTTTGGAACGGCCTGATGCCACAAGTCAGCAGGCCGTGTGATCTGATCTGATCTGATCTGGTCTGTGACACAGATCTGCAGTGCTCGCACCCACCTGATCTGCGACGTACCGCTCCCGCTCCAGCTCCCGGAGCTTGGCCCTGACCGCCGCCGCGCGCCCTTTGATCACCTCGTTTGAGGGGTTGGCCTTGGCGCCCCTCGTGAACGCCTTAAGCGCCTGGGTCGGATTATTGGAGGTTGGCGGTGACATAGCCACTAGACGGCTCAAGAGGTACAAAGATGCAGCTCGCCCTGATGCGCCACACGCACGTACGCGTCGCTGGTGTGGCCGCCTCCGTTTGTGGCCGCGCCAGAGGTGGCCCTGCTTGGGCTGAAGCGCACCTCCTCGTAGCGCCCGAGCGCCTCGAGCGCGGCCCCGTGGCGCCAGTGGGCCTTGTCCCAGGTTCCCCGCAGCTTCACGGCCTGGGTGCGGGCGGGGCACGATGGAATGATGATTGTCAACCGATTCGCTCACATGAGACGTGATATAGGGACGCCATTCCTCCTGTTGGGGTTGCTGCTTGCAGCCCTTTTGAGAACGTTCGCCATGTACAGTGCGTCATCAGCACACCCGATTGAACGGGTTGACGTTGGGTTGATTGCATGCAGACGGCTGGGACCGACAGCGCAAGCACCGACATGGGGGGGGGGGCACGGGCAGGGAACGAGTGGCGCGCCTGCTCCGAGTCTTGCAGCGCTTTGGTGTAATCCTTGAGCTGCAGGTACGCGGCGCTGCGGTTGCTGCGTCGCGGCGCGGCGGTGGCGGCGGCGGTGGCCGTGGCAGCGCATGCAGACATGAGTCAACACCTCAGCCAGCACGGGTGAGTGCCCGGCCACCGTAGCAGCGGGGCCTGTGGCAATAGTCACATGCTGGTGGCTTCCCTCAGCACGTGCTCTGCCCCAGCACCAGCTGTCCGCCACCATGGGATGCAGGGGCACCTGAACAGAGTCGCTGTGGAGGTTGAGGGCGCCCCCGCCGCGGCGATCGCCTGTGTGTAGACATCTGCGGCCTCCGCATATTTCCCGGCGGTGAATAGGGCGTTGCCCTGCTCTTTCAAGTCCTCATTCGTGGCCATTTGAGTGTCGACACCTGCCTGCGCCAGCCACGGATGATCAGCTTGCGGTCGACGCTGCGCTGGTAGTGTTATCAAACGCAGATTATGGCACAAAGTGCTGCAAACGTTTCCTCAGCGTGAAAATTAAGCCAGTCGATCTGCAGGTTGATTAGTACGAATAGCTGCCGTGGATCCAGACGTATGGAGCTCCCATCAGAGCGTGTGTATGCGCAAAGTGAGACACTCCAAAGCCTCTTGGAAACCTCGCCGCGCTGCGCCGACGCCACTGCCGCCGTCGACGGCCGTTCGCAAGCGGCGCCGTGCCCCAGCTCGTGCTGCCCCACAGCCCAAGGCGGTAGTGGCGGTCCCATCTTCGGGGCTGTGGCTGTGGAGGATGCAGCAAAGCTTTCATATGATGAGTTTGTTTGCAGGTGCGTACCCGGGGCGGTCAGGCTGCAGCTGGTCGCAAGTATGGTCAGCGCCATGGTCAAGTAATAGTGATGACGCTGACCGCTACACGTACAGCAATTAGATGTTGTTTGTTCGTCCCAACTCAGCAGCTGCGTCTCTCTGATTGCAGGTACATGGCACCCAACCAGCCCGTCCTCATCCGGGTGAGCCCCGCCTTTCAGGTCCACCCGCCCCATGAAGCAGGAGCTGGTTGTGGTGGTGGGAGTGATTGTGATGATGGTGATAGTGGTAATGATGCTGTTCGTAGGGTCATGGGACCGGTATTGGGATAGTTTGGTCTAGCACTTGAACCGTGAGGTGGGCACAACGTCAACGGACCGCGGGCGCAGGGCGCCGCGGCCGGCTGGCCGGCGCTGCGCGACTGGGTGGTGGCCGGCGGCGGCGTCGACATTGAGGCGCTGCGGGCGCGCGCCCCATTGGCGCGAGTGCGCGTCACCGACGCCGCCAGGTGCGCACGCAACAAAGCAGGGCGCCTAGGCCAATTTGGCACTGATGTCGGAAGGCCGGCCGTCGCATCAAGATGGCCCTGGCTTCTGTCGGAGGCCTACCAAGACTATCTGGTGCCTCGCATGCCAAGCAATAACAGCCGCAGCTTTCATCTTTTGTTGCGCAGCGCGGCCGTGCCACACCTGGCAGCGCGTGGCGTAACGGCCAGTGAGGGCGGTCAGCGTCGGCCCGCGCTTCGCTCACCGCCCCTGCCACCTTTGCAGGCACCACGCCGGCTGCGGCCCCTGCGTGGAGATGACACTCAGCGACTACTGTGACTGGTGGCAGCAGCACCGGCCGACAGGCATCGCGGCTCAAGAAGTGGGAGGGCAGCAGCATGCAGCGCTTGACCAGCAGCAAGCAGAGGCAGGAGCGAACGGCCATCACAGACATCAACAGCAGCAGCAGCATCAGGAGCAGCAGGAGCAGCGGGAGCAGCGGGAGCAGCGGGAGCAGCTGGAGCAGCAAGAGCAGCAGCAGGATCAGCAGCAGGAGCAGCAGGAGCAGCAGGATCAGCAGCAGGAGCAGCAGCAGGATCAGCAGCAGGAGCAGCAGGAGCAGCAGCAGGAGCAGCAGCAGGAGCAGCAGCAGGAGCAGCAGGAGCAGCAGGAGCAGCAGGAGCAGCAAGAGCAGCAGGAGCAGCAGCAGCAGCAGCCCGGCCGCCCATCTGGCACCGACGGCCGTTTGCTGTACCTCAAGGATTGGCACTACGTGGCAGAGCGACCAGATTGTATCGCCTATGTACTGCCCTCCTTTTTCACAGAGGACTGGCTCAATCCCCACTGCGACGCACTGGCAGCCGCCGCGCAGTACAAATCGGATGCAGGGCGGCGCACATGGGCAGGTTGCGGCGACGGCGGCGCTGGGCCGGGCGCCGCCGGCGAGCGAGATGGCGCAGACGCCGGCTGCAGCGGCGACGAGGCGAGCGGCAGCGGCGCAGCGGTGGCGGCGTCCACCGCGGACTACCGGTTCGTGTATTGCGGCCCCGCCGGCTCTTGGACGCCGCTCCACGCTGATGTGCTGCGCTCCTTCAGTTGGTCTGCAAACGTCGCCGGCCGCAAGCGGTGGCTGCTGCTCGCGCCACAGCACTCGCACCTGCTCGCGCACGCGTGGCGGGTGGGGGAGATGGCGCCCGACTTCTTCATAAACGACCTGGCGGCGCCGCGGCGCGGGTGCAGAGGGAGTGGTGGCTGGGGCGACAGTGGGTGTGGAGGGGACGGGGATGAGGCGCTGGACCCTGACGACTACCCTGGGCTGGCAGCGGCCCAGAAGCTGCTGCTTGAAGTGATCCAGGTTGGTGGTGGTTCGCTGCGGATGCTGTGCCACGGCTCCATGGTTCTTTAGGACCCTCTGCTTGCGCTTGTAGTCTTTGGCTGAGGCGGTGCGGTCGTCTGCACTCACCAACCTGCTTGCCTGCGCGCAGTGTTGCGCATGCCGCTCACCCTGTGCCGCTCCCCAAAGCACGCCTGTCGGCTCTCTCGCCGACGCTTCGGCACGCCGCAGGGCCCAGGCGATGCGCTGTTCGTGCCCAGCGGGTGGTGAGAAAGAACATTTCTTGCTCCAACGGATAAGGGCCCAGGCTTTGGCAAGGCGGCTGCGCTGCGGCATTGACGAGCAATGCACGACCCTCGGCACGTCTGTTTGGGTCGCTGCTCAGCCAGTGTCGCACTCAATCTGATGACCGTGCTATCAAACCCCTTTCTCCACACCCTCAAAGGCACCACACCGTCGTCAACCTGACAGACTGCCTCTCCATCAACCACAACTGGTGGGCGCTGAAGAGGCGGGGCACGGGTCGCCCCCACCGGCAGCACTGCACGCCGCTGCGTTCAAGGGGCTGTTTCATTGTTCATTGTCGCATTAGGGTGCTCGCCCTGCTGTGCATGCTGCGCCACGACGGGCTCCCTGGCCGCCCCTGCTGCCTTTGGATTGAATGCCCGTCAAACCCCTCTGCTGGCGCGCAGCCCCGCCAATATCCAGGTTGCGATTGACTGCCGGCTCGCTGCACGCGCAGGCTGAACTCGCACAACGCGCATTGGGCGTGGCGGCTGCTGGAGCGAGAGCACGCGCTGGCCACCGCGTCCCTGGAGGACTGCAGGTGGGGGCGCGCTGTCCACTGTGAACGCGACGCAGCGCCAGGCGACTCAGCAGGCTGCACCTGCGAGCAGCTGGGCCGCACGGCTTGCAGCGCCGCCGCGCTGGTGCCTCGTGACACCTTATCCTTTGTTGATGCGCTCAATCATCAGACACCACCAATCGACCACTGAACACCACCAATCAACCACCAATGGGTCACCAGCACCAGGCACTAATCAGCCCCGCAATCACCCGCTCCTGACAAGTCAGCCTCCACCCCCGACCACCCCACCCAGGGACACCTGCGCCACTGGCGAGGAGTTCGAGGGCCTGGTGCAACGCGCCCTGTCAGCAAACGCCGGGATGGACTTCCAGGGGTGGGGCGCCCTGGTCTCTCGCGCCGCGAGCGCGGCCTTGGACGCCCTCAAACGCGGCAGCGGGTTGGATGCTGACAGCGTCGCAGGGGCCCCGACCGCTGCGGCCGCGCCGCGCCTGCAGGCGCTGCTCGAGCTGCAGCGCGCGGCGCGGCTGCTGCGGGGGCTGCTCTCCGCCGCGGCGCGCGCGGCGC